TTCTATTTTATTGCTCTCGGTTTAGGCCCAGAAACCTGTCCTCATTTCTATGTGCACTTTCTTTACATAGAAGAGAATCAAACTGTTTTAAGTAATTCCATTACCAAACAAAAAATAAAAATTAAAAGATATCTAAGACACAAAATCCCTTGTAAATCAGCAGCACAGATACTGGGATACTGGAAACAGAGATTGCTGCTTGCTTTCACTGTAAAAATATGTAATTATCCTATTCTTGTATATGGTAACAAATTGTTTCTTTTAAACAAATGTACAGAGCTGTCCTCTGTAAAGTTTATTAGATTAAATTAACAGTCACTGCATATTATCCTATCATCTCATTACTTGGTTTATTTCATTAGCCTGGATGTATTAATTTTAGTACACATTAATACCTAATTTGCACGGAAACATTTTTGAATATCTAACTAGAGACAGAGTTCAGGAAGAGTGATGATGTGTGGGTTTAGAGTCAGCTGCTTTGCAAAGAAACAAAAATAAAGTGAAAAAACAGGCAATTATGAAAACAACTAAGATGCGTCAGTCTTACAAAACCAGCTTCGAACAAGCCGGCTCAAAGTATGAAATCATAGGACTACTTGTGCAAAATGTTATTTTAAGATTCACTTGTAATTCCCCTACCCACCAAGTAACAGTATAGAAATGTGTAGCAGTTTCAATGTCCTCAAGAAAAAAATACCTGAAAATGTGATACTGCATGAACGTGGAGTTGTACAGACTATGTATAACCTGTAGACTGTGACCATATCAATCCAGAATTAAACTGGCAGCATTATAATGCAAGTGGGGAAGAAGAAGAGGACACATTGTAAAAGGCACCCTAACAATAACCAGCAGAAACAAAAGTCTGCAGAATAATATTAAAAAACACCTATGTAATCATACAGATCCTTGGGAGACTGCTAAAATTTGGTATTGGAAACACACAAAGATAAATGATTATCAAACAAGACTCAGGACAACGTCCTCAGCTGCACTATGTGTGATATAACTCAGAAAAGGGTAGCCCTGAACCACCCTTCTTTCTCTGGCCACACCAACTTCACCTGCCCTGTGAGGACTGCTACTCTGAGCAATGGCTGGCTCTTTCAGCCCTGCCTAAACACATCTCTGCAGTGTAGGAAGGAGCACCACAGAGAGGCTTTACGGCAAGCAGCAAGATCTCTTGCTCCTGTGATAGAGCAGTCTGGGCACTGAAAGAAGTAGGGTAATAGATTGCAGGATTGGATGTGTTATTTCTGTGTCAATTTGAGGAAATGTGCGCGCAAATCTTACACTGAAACTCTTCGACTACATAGAAAGAAGGAACTTTGTCATTAAGAAACCCCAAATGTAACCTCTGCAGAACCCCAAGGATTTATAAATTAGCTCTGGTCCTGATGTATGACTTTGTGGTCACAGGCTATCCTCCCAGAATTACATGGAGATGGAACAGAGAAAGTGCTTTTCCCTATATAGACCTTCCTCTATATTAACCTTTCTTCGAACTCCTCTAATACATTTCCTAGTCTGTGCACTGAGTCCAGAACGTATGGGCAGCTGTGTAGAAAAGGCTAACTAACCACACTTTCTGTGGAAGGGGAAGATGATGACTGAAGAGCACCCATTTCATGCTCAAATACTGTGATATAGGCATTCTGGGCAAGAGAAAGGAAAGAGCAAAACACATAGCTCTGCCTGAAATTCCCTGCTCATATTGCTGGTTCAAAAAAGGGGGTAAACACTGACAGAAGCAAGAAATACAGGAGTGAAGAAATCAATACGAAAGATTATACCAGATAACAAGTTAGATGATCTCCAAGGAGAGACAACACTTGGAGCCAGGCACATGTCAATTTGGGAAGCATAAAGGAATTTCCCACACCTTGCCTAGAAGGTGATAGTTTCTCTTTATAAACACATAGAGGCTGAGAACAATGGCCACCACATGTCTGGTATATATTTTTCATACAGACTTAAGCAGGGATCATTTTGCCCAGTCCATCTTTTAAGTTCATTCTTGCCAACAACTTGTATAACAAGTCCAGAGAAGAAGAACAGGCATGTTCTTCTTAAAGTACTGCTGTATTTTATCTGTGGGAAAATAGTTAACAGGAAAACACAATTATGTGAAAGTATTTGAATGACGTAAGCTAGAAAACAGGGAGAGGAACAAATGGACATACTGTCTGAGATGGCTATATTACATATAAGAAAAGTCAAACAAAAGGAAAGATGAATCTTAATACTGGTGAAAATAATTGCAAAAATAATAAATGGTAAAAGCCACATTTCTCAAGTCATTTAAATTCTACCACACCAATCATTTTGTAAAGCCTCTAGATGGAGAAGTTGAAACCTGTCAAGGAGACACATTACTTCATCTTGTTGATCTTTTACATTTTTCTGTGTCTATCACCCAACCTTACAGCAAACAAAAGTCAACCGCAGATGGGAAAGCAAAAACCTGTGTCACTGGTAAGTCATCCATCACCTGTACCACAAAAGCATCTTGTATTGTTTGTTTTAGGTGTGACATTCCCATTCTTCCTTTACTTATGTACTGATCATTCTTTCTTTCATGTCTTCATCTTGGCTCTGATTTTCCTCCTGTGATCTTCTTTCTTTCAAATAGAAGCTGAATTAAAAGGGTCTGTTGTTCAGCCTAAGAACTGTAACTTTTGGTCTCAGAATAAGAATATATACCAAAATGCAAGGCATTGTCCACTTAGTACAGTCTGAAAACATGCACATTAAAAATTATTTTTCAATAAAAAAATAAAACAATCTTTTATGAGTAACTTCTAGGAGTCAAAACTACCTTTATCTCACACCTAATGAGATTCTCCCTGGACTATTTCATACCTTCTCAGAGAGCTATCTGGACCCACACAGTCTCTGTTTTTGCTCTCTTCACAGTGCTGAAATTGTCTCCGTTCATCAGTTTTTGACAGCTCAACATTGATGGTTTCAATCTCATAGCTTCAAATTACTTTCACTTAGAAGCAGTGTGGAAGGAATTCCATCATTAGTTAAGACAAATGTCTTTCCTTTTTTTCTGGATGGTGCTTCAACAATTGTCATAACCACTCAAACAACTGACTCATCTTCCAGACCACAGAATGCAACTTCAGAACAAAAAGGTCCTCACTCCAGTTTACTTCTTTTTATTTGCCTCTGCTGTTACTATACCTTCCAACAGTGTTTCCATTCAGCAGGAAAAAAGTGTCCATAATGACATCCTGCTTTGGAAGTCCTGTGCTTCCTTCATGCAGCCAGTTTATAAGAAAACTGAGTTTGCTGTCAAAAAGATCTGTCTTCAGGTTTCATACATGGCCTATTTTTCTCATCTTGCTGCAGCTCCATGAATTTTTTTCTCTGTCATATAAAAGAAGTTGTAATAAATCATTGCAATTGCTGGTGTATGTTGAAGGGAACAACCCTCCAACAGTGTCAACCACAGTGAGTACTGCGGTTGATAACGGCAGTGCTTGCAAAGATGAATCACCAGCAGGGAAAGCAGTTCAAAAAAGAAACACAGGAGGAAAAAACCCAACCCAAACCCAAACCCCAATACCAAAAGAAACTCACTCCATCAGAAAGAACATCCAGGGAAAAGATGGGAGTGTAATTGCGAATAAATGCTTTGTAATATGCTCCAATCTGAATATGTTGCTTACGGTATGGACTTGCTCACATGAATCATGATTTGAAAATACTTTATTGAATAATGGGATACTCAGGTTTTTCAATTAACACTTTTGTTCATTTTTCTCACTGCTTCAAATGGTTGTTGTACATCTTCCTGTAAAACAGCTTTTTGCACATCAGAATTTCTTACAAATCTTTGGGGAGTTCTGTATTTCATGTTTTCTTAACCCTTGCTCCTCTAGACTAAATGATTGTCTGGGGAAGGATTATCTTTATTTGTGCTTTCCTATCATCTACTATTCTGGGCCCCCAAACTTTGTGGGGACTTACATGTGAATGTTTTCGTATCAATCATGTAGGGTCCAACCAAAGGAGCCTTGACAGGCTTGAGAGGTGGGCCAATGCCAACCTCATGAAGTTCAACCAAGTCAAGTGCAAGGTTCTACATCTGGGTCGGAGCAATCCCAGGCACAGCTACAGGGTGGGCAGAGAAGAGATTCAGAGCAGCCCTGTGGAGAAGGACTTGGGGGTGTTGGTTGATGAGAAAATGAACATGAACTGGCTTCAGTGTGTGCTTGCAGCCCAGAAAGCCAACCGTATCCTGGGCTGCATCAAAAGGCGCGTGACCAGCAGGTCGAAGGAGGTGATTCTGCCCCTCTACTCTGCTCTTGTGAGACACCACTTGCAAACCGCGTGCAGTTCTGGTGCCTCCAACATAAGAAGGACACAGAACTGCTGGAGCAAGTCCAGAGGAGGGCCACGAAGATGATCAGGGGGCTGGAGCACCTCCTATATGAAGACAGGCTGAGAAAGTTAGGGCTGGTCAGCCTGGAGAAAAGAAGGCTGCATGACCTCATAGCAGCCTTCCAGTATCTGAAGGGGGCCTATAGGGATGCTGGGGAGGGACTCTTCATTAGGGACTATAGTGCTAGGACAAAGGGGAATGGGTTTAAACTTAAACAGGGGAAGTACAGGTTAGATACAGGGAAGAAGTTCTTTACTGTGAGGGTGGTGAGGCACTGGAATGGGTTGCCCAAGGAAGCTGTGAACGCTCCATCGTTGGCAGTGTTCAAGGCCAAGCTGGATGGTGTCTTGGGTGACATGGTTTACTGTGTGGTGTCACTGTCAACGGCAGGGGGTTGGAACTAGATGATCTCAAGGTCCTTTCCAACCCTAACTATTCTATGATTCTATGTCTATCATCCCTCACTGACAGCAAAGGCAAGAAACACAGCACTAACAAGCAGAACAGAACAAAACAGAACAGTGCTCCAAAACAGGAATGATTCCCTTGAACTGCTTCCCACCCCATGTGACGGAAAAGAGGGAGAGTCTTAGTCTTTTCTTCCAGCTAGAGAGAGGTTGGAATACTCAAGGAAGCTGCTATGCCACCAAGTACTGCAAAGGGAGACAGAGGGAGACTTTGTCAATGGACTGGCTGGTTCACTACATTTGAAGAGCTTTATGAATTGTTAAAAAGCTCTTGTTCTCAGAATGACTCCAGGTGGAAAGCACACAGCACTAGCAGCAGCAGGAGACTCCTAGTTTGGTATTCTACTTGAATACAGGATGGGCCTGGAAAAGAAAGGACAAGCACAATGGCTTCTGAGGAAGAAGTCACCTTCTTTCCAACTTCTTACGGGTCAAGGCTGGAGGGCCAGTCTACAACCATTCTCTCAATCAGCCAGCCAGATCGAAAATCTACTGTTCTTCATAAGCAAAGAGCTCAGTGGTCCTTTTGCTACTTACTTCATTTTCACATCTTCTAGGAAGAATAAGTTATGAAGTGTATTAACTAGTTTGTTGTTTTTTTTTTTCCTAAGCCCCAGCATAACAATCCAGCCAATATCTGTCAATCATCTTTTGTCTCAATAGCAGAGAGCAACTCCAACCTTTGTCTTTGTTTGGGAAATGGTAGACAGGAAGAGATAGAAAACAAAATAAACATTATAACCTCATGTTTAAAGCTGTTACATTTTCTCAGGAACACCCAACGTAAGCATACCTAGAGTACCTTAAATTTCAAAAGTATGTTATGGTATTCTGAGAGGGGAAAATCTGTTGACATTTTAGAACACTGTGCATGTCTGACAGTTAAACAAATCAGAACTACCTACAAATGAACAATTTAGTTTTCCCCTTGGTGGACTCTACCACTGTTTCTCTAAACATTAAGAGTCAAAGTGTGCTCACTATCAGCCAGGCAGCTATCCTGTCACTCACTGTACATTCACATTAAAAAACCCTCTTTCCAGTGTGCATTACTCATTAATGTGCTCAATCAGACTGACTCTGCCTATGTTCTAAGGTGAATTAGGAAAGGGTCTGTTAAAAGATGATACAGGCCATTCTTTTGTGATGGTCTGCAGTTTTCTCTCCCAATACATTTTCTTTTTATTTAGCACTTCCATTTTTATCCTGTGTTCTTCTTCAGCCATCTCACACTCTCTTTCTATTTGCTGTATTTTTGCCACATGAACTTCATTCATTTGGATTAACTGTAGTTGCAAAATTGACATTTGCTGATGATGTTCTTCCTCATGCATCTTTTTCAGAGCACTTTCCTGAGATGCTTTACTTCTGTAGTTCTTATCTGCTGCTATTCTGACATCAGAACACGAAGGCTCAGATTGGGAGGTACCTTCACATACTGGGAAATGTACCAGCTCTTTGTCTTCATCACAAAGTTCTCTATTTGAGACAACAAATGACTCTGCAAAACAGAAGAGGAAAAAAGCATTTTAGTATTCCTCCTCCCTCAGGAAACACAAGCCTGTGATAGCATAGTTAGTAGTGTATGCATCTAAACTTAGTGCTTCTGTGCCATAGTACAGGAGTCACTGCATTCTGTTACAGAATATTAAGGGCACAGTGGTCTGACTGAACCACTCCGGACTCTGTTGACAGACCTCCACCCATGGCTGTAACAGGAGCTCAGAATACTAAAGTGAACACAGACATTTATAAGTGAACGCCTAAATTTAAGTGGCTGAGCCTGGAGCTGAAGCTTAAGGCAGCTGTTTAAGCTAAATCTGTGAGTGACTCAGATCTTTTACGAAAGATCTGAGTGTCAGGTAAAGAACTGTATCAACACGAATAGCAAGAGGCTGAGGGAACATGAGGAAGAATACTACTTATTCCTTCCTTATCACTACCGCACACGTTGCAAACACAGTGGTGAATATTTTTAGGAAAAAATGACACTTTTCTAACTTTGTGACAGTTCTACCAATTCTTCTGAAATAAAAGAAACAACTCAAGGAATAAAAAAGTTACAATTGCCAGTAAGGGTCTCAAAATACATTCCTTTACAAATCCTGATGGCTACTTATAGTAAATACTATAGGAAAGGGATGTTATAAGAAAGTTATCTACCAATGTAGTTACTGCTGTCTTTTGAGCAAAAACAGTCTTCTGTGTGTGATCCTGACATAATAAAGTTTGTGAGAAACCACTGTAGCCACCCTCCCTTTCTGGTTTTGGATTATTCCTTCTCTGTGTGCTTGCCAAGCAAAGAATGTAGTGCTGACCTTTTGTAGAAAGGCCATTCTCCAATGTGGACTGCAGTGTGAAATACGGCTCTACGTATTCTAAAAGTCCTGGAAAACAAAGGAAGGAAGATCTACAGGGAGCTCAGTGTGTATCATTCACCTGCCCTCGATGCAGGTGAGGCTGTGCGGTGCGGCCGGCGGGCTGCTGGTGGAGCTGGGCAGGAGCGGGGCCCCGTGATGCCGGCATGCCTGCTCTAAAGGCGGACCGGCTCGGCACCATACCTCACCCACTATACCCAGCAGACGGACGGCGGCGTCCCAGCTGTGGCGCAGCTCATCCTGGCTGCCCCGTGAGTACCACAGTCCTGTCTGCCTGAGGGGCGCAGAGAGCCCCCACCACGCCGCCTGGAGCGGGCGGGCTTCTCGCTTCCCTGGGTGCAAGGAAATACCGGAGTCGGGTGGTCCTTTGTTGCTTCCCCGTCAAAGGGAGATGCAGTGCAAGTCTGATGAGGAGCGGCTGAAGGAACGGGGGTTGTTTAGTCTGGAGAAGGCTCAGGGAGGACTATCGCCCTCTACAACTACCTGAAAGGAGGCTGCAGTAAGGTGGTGGTGAGTCTCTTCTCCCAAATAACAAGTGATAGAATAAGAGGTAACGGCCTCAAGCTGTGCTGGGGGAGGTTTAAGATTGGATATTAGGGAAAATTTCTTTACTGGAAAGGGTGTTCAGGCATTGGAACAGGCTGTGTTCAAAAACCTGTGTAGATAAGGCCCGTAGTGACACGGTTTAGTGGCAGCCTTGGCAGTGCTGGGGGAATGGTTGGGCTTGATCTTAAAGGTCATTTCCAACCTAGTTGATTCTGTATGTCAAAAACTGATGAAAAAGAATTGAGTAAAACCTCACTTTAACTCCTGGGGGCCTAGGGAAATACACAGCCTTGTAATATCATAGCTCTGAAATTACTCTTCTATAACCAGCAGTTGCAGCTAAGTGGAGAGATTAGACTGCTGAAAGCAAATCCATGGCAAAAATCACATAGAAAACAATACTACTTGCAACATTACAGTAACATTTATACCTTGACTAGAAGCATCAGGCTGATATTCAGAATCTTCTGGTGGGCTCTGCAAAAAGTACATTTGCTCAGGCATTATGCTGGCAATCTTCTCTTTCCCTATGATGTGAGAACTTATAAGTGGACTAACACTTCTTTTTACCTTCTCCCGCCTTTCATGTGCCATTATCTTTTTTGTCCGTGCCTTGATATTTTCCCAGCATTTCTTTAACTGTTTGAAGTCTCGCAGTGATACACTGGGCTGCGAATTATATTCATGAGCTAGTGCTTGCCAGGTACGTTGCTTCAGAGCAATAGTTCTTGCATCACTTTTTTTACACTCAAGCACATATTTGTATTTTTCAACTAATGCAAGCAGCACACTCTTCTCCACTTCTGAGAAGTATTTAGCAGGCTTTATTATTTCGTTTTGCATTTTCTATTGTTTCTCCAAGAAGCCAAAAATCCTATGAAGACAAGGTTGAAAGCAAAAAACAAACAAATTAGACTGGTTACAATATCAGGAAACTGTGTTTCAACAAATAACACCTAAACATAGCTTCTGCTTCTAACACACTCATTTTCTAGAATAGCTTGTGAGTAGTTCTAGAGAACATAACGAAATATTTAGGTAAGACATAGTGTAATTATAAGCTATTTTCTATTACCATTTTAGAAGCTACACAGTCAAGAATATACCATAATGAGAATCTTCTTCTTTGTTACAATTTATCTTGATACCAAATACACAGTATCCAATTTAATTAGTAACTTCTTTTTAATAACTTGTGTTCCTGCTCATTGCACTTTGTTACACCCAGAGTTCTCAAAGCCCTGAATTGTAGAACAAGTTCTGAAATCCATCACTTTATAGCCTCAGGTTTAAGTCTGAAGCCACCTTCAGCATGTGTGTGTTTCCTTTAGTACAGAAAGGACCCTCTTCTGCCCTTGCTGACTGCATATAACTTCTCCCCTCCCTCCACAGTACTTGAAAGTTGTATGAGAAATGATAGTAGGAAGTTCTATTTTTAAAGTCTCCTGTTGGTTTGGTTCTCCCTTCTGCTCAGGCCTCCGTGACTGACATGCAATGGGCAGCAGGATCTTGACTGGTTGCGAGACATGAATTAATTACAGAAACTAACCACTCTGAAGGTACAGGTCCTTCGCCCTTCACTGCTGACTCAGTGTGTGGCACTCTTCCTTATGCTTGCACTGCTGGTCCCTCTCTGGAATGAACAACCAGGCTAAAAAGAGTTCTGGCCTCACTCAATACAGCCACTTCCATATTACTTACACCATGTTAACAACTGCGTAAGTCCCAGACTTACTCAGTCAGTAAGAAAAGGGTAGATGATATCTGGAAATTCTTAGGAAAAAATAAAAAAAAAAAGGAGTGCTTCCTTGAATTATTAACATATGATTGTGCTGTAAAATGTAGCTTTTATTCTATCTTTCCACAATTCTTTCCCCATTCCATCCTACTATAACTGTGTATCCCAAATGACTCACATTTTGTACAGAAACTTGTGGATAATTATGTAGAAAATGGGGAAAAGCAAAGCTATCTCAGGTCATATTTCTTCTGGTTTTAATCATAAAACTCAGAGATGAAACATAAGTGGTAACTGGACCATAATGCTCACAGTCTAGGACTCCCCAAAAAGAATCTTCCCAAAATGTATTTTGCCCATTGTTTCCACTACTTCCCTCACAACATTACTTGAAGATGCAATAGATACCGCTATGAAATTTCCTCCAATATTAGTTTTTACTTAACTGCACTGCACTATCACTCTCTTCATACCATCCTTGTAACTCCTTTCCTCCAAATGTCTTGATACTTAGTTATTTCCACTCGCTTCTGTGAAAGTGACTACTTATATTTACAAAGAAAGCTAACAGACAAGCTGACATCAAAATGAGAACCCAACTCTGACATATCAGAACAGAAGCTTTCTCAAGTAGCCCATAACATGTGACAAACCCCAGCAACACAAAGGAGTCAAAGAATAGAAGAGGCAGGAGGACAAAGTCCAGAATAGCAAAACTGTAACAAAGTGAATAGAAATAAGTAATAGTCCGAGTTTACATTAATTATGTTAAGTCAGTAGCAGTAGCTAAGTTGACCCCTACTGAAAAAGCAGCAAACACTAAGTTTGTACTTTCTGCCACTGCTCAACTAGGTAATCACCAGTGACCATGTACTGACCAGACAGCAGCACCTGTGCAGTTCCTGGCTAGTCACAGTTCTGTTGTCTCTTCCAAAAGCAGGTGTCATGAGGATATGGGAGAGCTGGGATCAGCAGACAGGATTTAGGGGCAAAGGGAAAGATTCATAGAAAACCAGAGTTTATTATCTGCACTGTTCATAGAACAGCTTGCTTATTTTCTTACAAGAAAGAAAAAGCTGGAAGAAGGAAAAGAGCTGGGTCCCTGTGGAAGGAATTGGCTCTCTGATCAAGCATTTCCTCCATCACACTATATCAAGTTATTTATTATCCTCTGTGAAAACTTAATCACCCCACATATTGGTGACAGGAATTCTTAAACACCTATAATATCACAGAACAAAATAAGTGTATGTAAAAAACTTGAAAGTCGCACATACCAATCATTATAATGTCTAGGTCTAACAGAAGAGAACATCTGCTTCAGAAAGTCCTTAAATAGAAAAATAAATTTTCAAGCTAGCCAAAAAGTCAGAAAATGGACATCCTAGCAGGAGATGATGAAAACCAGGAACTTTGCTCAATGAAATAGCTCCCAAAACATGCAAAATAGGAGAGACCTATAACGAAATAGACTCTATTTACTAATCTATTTCACCATTGTATGGTAAATGTACTTATTGTACCATTTCAAACCATTGAGATGCTTTGGACAGCTGCTGAAACGATTTTTTTTTTGACTAAATATTGATGGTTCAACCTGTCTTAACAGGTTTCACTGACAAACAGGATGGAAAGCAGTCCCACCAGCAAGTCATAAGGTTCAACAGCTTATGACCCTGAAAAAACAGGATCAGAGACTCCATGCAATCAGAAATGGCTGATTCTGCCTTCTGCTGATGCATGTAAATCTTATTTCTAGCTTTGAAAAAGGGTGAGAATCTAAGACCAAAAATCATCACGTTTGTGCGCAGAAAAATACCTTTAATTAGAAGAAAAACACATTTTCAAGAACTTTGGAGACTAAGTTCAAAAAGGTAAACAATGAGACAAGGAGGCATAAAAGCACAAAATGTAATCAGTTCTAAGTAATGGTAAGTTTGATGGCTTTGTAATGGAAAATAACTGCAGTGCTTGAAGGTAGTTGACATAGTTTTCAGTCCTTAGGACCCTTAGTACAAAAAGTGTAAGAAAAGCAGAATAGAAAAACAGGACCTGGGGATGGGGAGCATCTGGGACTAGCAGATGTCCAGGATGGGAGCAGTTAAATTAACCATAAGTAGAAGGATGGGATGATTGCTATGTCTGTAATGTTAATTAAGCCGGTGCTTCAAAGACTGACAGAAGTTATGAAGACTGTTGGAAGAAGTAAACGGCCCTCAAAGACCACCATCACATTTTTGTGCATGCAGGAAACTTTCTGGAAGATGATGTAATTCATGTGTAGCCTCATGAATATGTATGTCGGCCCAGTGACTATATAAGGATGGCCTGTGTAGATATACGGTGATACACGTTAGGAGGAGCTATCTCCCATGCTTTCCGGCGCCGCAATAAAGAATACCTGCTTGTCAACTTGAAACTTTGTTGGAGAGTTTGTTCCTGGAGTTTTCTCCAAATCAACAACCATACTGGGAATTCTGGATTTGAGGTGCTAAATATTTAGTTAAGCAGACTGGCAGAGATCAAGTGATACCAGTAAATATTTAAAGCATTTCCAAATATGAATTCATATATATTTACAACCTATGTACTAGGAGAAAAGCTCATCTTTCATGGATGGAGCCACACCAAACCCTTAAGTATCACTTTCATACCACATTATCATTTATTGCTATTATTTTTTACTGTGGTATAATGAGAGACTGATCTGAAATCAGACTCCACTTTCCATTGTCTCAAAGATTGGTATGAGAAGCTGAGATGGAATTCCACCAATCCATTGTCTCAGAGATGGGTGGGAGGAGTTGAGATAAGTCCATTACGTGGGAGAAGGGTGTGAGGAGCTGAAATGGGACTCCACCATCCATTGCCTGAGGGATGAGTGGGAAAGAGCTAAGACCCTTGTCCATTGGTGTGAAGAATTGTCCATTATCCCACACAACATGCAGTTGAAGAGCTGGCTGCAAGACCAAGGGAACTCGTCCACCAGAAACATGTAATATATGACATGAAGAAGAGAGGTACTCCCCCCCAACTCATTATAAAAGGGGCAAAAGGTAATTACGAAGAGGAGCCATTGCCATGAAGATGACTCTGGAAGGATACCTCCATGAGGACACCCACCTCCAAAGACTACTACAGACTCTCTGGGGACACTTTGCTCCAACAGCGACTACAAACCCTGCAGAACTCCCACCAGATACGACAACGGTGCCCTGGAACACTGCTGAATCCACAGTGGTGACTCTCTCTGCACCCCAAATTCTTGCTTCATTTCCATCCTTTTTCCAATCTGTCCTATCACTATCCCCTTTATCACAATAATTTCCCTTTTTTATAATAATTGTCTTTTCGCAACAAACCAACTCAACAATTACAGTACTTGACCTTGTTTAAGTCTTAATTTCACTCTTGGGAACATGAACTGAAACAGGGTCTGGCACTGCAGTTTTCTCCAATTGGACCCTGACAGGTATCATCTAAGATCCCAATTCATAAGCTTAAATACTGTACATTTAAGAAAAGAAACGTAGATCCTACTCTGAGAAGAATACAATATATCAGTCTTTCCTTCCCCTACATTCCTATTATTTTTCCTACACATACAACACTGCACATGTGTCTTTTCCACGAAAAAGCCAGGACTCTGACCTAGGATGCATAAAAGAACTCAAGAACAAGTGAAAGCAGTTTAATGCACTTACTACACAGAAGAAATGAGTTCTTGAAGATGTTTTTCAAGCTCTTACATGCTTAGCCTGCTTGCTTCAATACATTAAGCCCATTCTCAACTGGTGCACAGAAAGCACTCTGAGATGCCAGCGAACTTAGAATACTGAGAAGCTGCAGCAAAACACCACCATGTATTTATATTCACCTCTTTCTCTTTATACATATCAATCACCTTCTCCTATGCAGAATATGAGAAAAGGCTCTCATAAAGCTACTCACCTGGGTCATTTGCCGAGGTGAGTGTCTCCAGAGAGGAGACTTCAATCCCAGAGAGAGGGAAAACACTGCTTCCAGGAGCCTCACTTCCGAGCAGTGAGAGCCACCAAGGGAGCCTCGAGCCCTCCATGAGCCTTGCCCAGGTGCCGGCAGCTCCGCCGAGGCAAGCAGGGACTCACAGGGGGCCGTGCCAGGAGGGACGGCACCGCCCTGAGAGGGTAAAATGCGGCCCATGGAGCTTGAGCGGCCCAGAGCACAGGGAGCAGAGCGGGCAAAGGTGAGGCGCTGCAGTCAGGGAGCCACAGACCACACTCACCTCTGTGCAGGGCAGGGTCTTGGAGCATTCTCCTGGAAGGCGTGTTAAGGCACATGAAAAACAACAAGGTGCTTGGTGACAGCCAGCATGGCTTCACTAAGGGGAAATCCTGCCTGACCAATTTGGTGGCCTATGATGGGGCTACAGAACTGACGGCCAGGGGTAGAGCAGTTGATGTCATCTACCTGGACTTGTGTAAAGCGTTCAACACTGTCCCACACAACATCCTTGTCTCTAAATTGGAGAGACATCAATTTGATGGATGGACCACTCGGTGGATAAAGAACTGGCTGGATGGCTGCACACAAAGAGTTGTGGTCAATGGCTCAGTGTCCAGCTGGAGACCAGTAACGAGTGGTGTCCCTCAGGGATTGGCATTGAGACTGGTCTTGTTCAACGACTTTGTCGGTGACATGGGACAGTGGGATTGAGTGCTCCCTCAGCAAGTTTGCCAATGACACCAAGCTGTGTGGTTCAGTCAATACACTGGAGGGAAGGAATGCCATCCAGAGGGACCTTGACACGCTTATGAGGTGGGCTGATGCCAACCTCATGAAGTTTAACCATGCCAAGTGCAAGGTCCTACAGCTGGGTCGGAGCAATCCCAGGCACAGCTACAGGTTGGACAGAGAAGAGATTCAGAGCAGCCCTGCAGAGAAGGACTTGGAGGTGCTGGTTGATGAGAAAATGAACATGAGCCGGCAGTGTGCACTTGCAGCCCAGAAAGCCAACCGTATCCTGGGCTGCATTAAAAGGAGCGTGACCAGCAGGTCAAAGGAGGTGATCCTGCCCCTTTACTCTGCTCTCATGAGACCTCACTTGGAGTACTGTGTGCAGTTCTGGTGTCCTCAACATAAAAAGGACATGGAACTGTTGGAACAAGTCCAGAGAAGAGCCATGAGGATGATCAGGGAGCTGGAGCACCTCTCGTATGAAGATAGACTGAGAAAGTTGGGGCTGTTCAGCCTGGAGAAGAGAAGGCTGTATGGAGACCTCACAGCAGCCTTCCAGTATCTGAATGGGGCCTATAAGGATGCTGGGGAGGGACTCTTCATCAGGGACTGTAGCAACAGGACAAGGGGGAAATGGGTTTTAACTAAAAGAGGGGACGTTCAGGTTAGATATAAGGAAGAAGTTATTTACTGTAAGGGTGGTGAGGCAGTGGAATGGGTTGCCAAAGGATGTTGTGAACACCCCATCCCTGGTGGTGTTCAAGGCTAGGTTGGACTGAGTCTTGGGTGACATGGTTTAGTGTGAGGTGTCCCTGCCCATGACAGGGGGGCTGGAACTAGATGATCTTAAGGTCCTTTCCAACCCTAACTGTTCTATGATTCTATCTTAAAGTCCTTTCTAACCCAAACCATTTTATGATTCTAAGCCGAAACAATTTCCATTTTAAGGCTAAAAGATCCTTCCATGACATATGCCCAGGATATAATTCAGTATGTAGGAAGCTGTGCTGAAATGAAAGCTCAGTGTCTACCAGTTATGCAGGAAACGAGATTGATTTGGGAATGTGTAGGCACATGAGAACAGTTGTGTAGTAAATTCTAAAAAATAAAGAATGGGAGGCTTCTCCCACTCTTACAGGTGCCCAAGCTCTAAGATATGCACAGTAAGAAAGTACTTTACCCCAGATGTCTTCTCCTGGCATAGCTCAATTCACAACTTGCCTTATAACAAATCACTGTCCATAGTACTTGCTCTCTCACACAAACTCTTACTGCTTTAAAATAACAATAATATCTCTCAACTTCTTATTTTTACTTTGAAATGTTGTGTGGCATTCTTCTTTTAACGACTATAAGGGATGTGCTGTGGTCTGCTGGAAAAATATCTTGGAAAAAAAGATTACACAAGTGAAGCAGAGCAGATGCTCATAGCTGCGTTATATATATGTATTATTTTGCTTGCACACACCTAAACATGCACCTAAACTCAAACCAGTGCAAAGAAGTCCGTGTAGGGGGAAAAAACAAATCACTTCAGATGGGCATGTGTGAGCATTTTTAGTCCCTGAAGTATTGTTTAGGTATAAGAAATGTGAAGTTATGATGGAAGACTTAACCTAAATGTGAAGTTCACACTAACTGAACCCAGAGAAAACAGTTTGCTAGCAAACTGTGGTGACTTATGGTATGAAAGCAGAATTAATTTACCAAAGGCAAAAGGATTAGTACAAGAATTAGTTAAGGATTGAGAAAAAAAAACAAAAAAGATTTATTTATCTAAGTTAAACTACAGATGAAACTTTAAGCATAGTCAGTAGTTAACAGCACTAAAAATCATAATTCTGCCCTTTACATCCAGTGTTTGAGGGTGGAAAAAAGACATGGAAATGCAGTGACCCAAACCAGTCACAACAACAGGTTTATATTTCATTTGAATGCTAGAACCAGCAGTAAACAGTGTTCTCCCTCCTCAAATGTTAGGTTTTCCTCACAGAGCTTCCATCAGAGCATTCCAGGCCTGACCCTGTCTACCTCGAGACTTGAAATCACTAGGTAATTAGGTGCATATTACAAGTATGAATGGGATCTATATGGCAATTGTGTTACATATAATCAGATAACGCACCCCCCCCCCCCCCCCCCAAACCTCTTTGGATGTTTTCCACTCCCTCCGTTTTAACATAAATTAATAGTTACCATGCATCATCCAGCAAATGAACAAAATAATCTATTGGTAAAAAAATAACAGTAGTTCGCTTTAATTTCTCCCGGCAAATTTCACGGACATACACAGGCAAATGTATTTTTTAAAGGTACGTATAATATTATATTACATACACACGCACGTAGCTATATTTTAAGCCGGTCATCCCGCTACCTATGGAGGGCATCCAAAGCAGTTTGTGCAGAGAAAGGTAATGGACGCAGGTTGTTATTTGCAACGACTGTCTGAAATTGATCAAAAATAGGCATAAACAGGAATCCTACCAGACTCTCCTGCACCCGAACTTCTCCCACATTAACTCGAGCTGGGTTCTGTTTCCTCGCTAGCTCCTCCTGAACGAGAAAGCAAAGCAGGTCCCGGCTCCACAAAGGCGGCCGCTCCTCCCAGGGCGGGCATGCAGGCTGCGGCGCGGGCTCAGGGACATCTGCCGCGGCAGGGGAACGGCCGGCGGCCGCGCTGACTCCCGGCGACCGCGGAGCGGGGACAACCCCACCCTGCAGCACCCGCCTTCTCCGTGCTCCGAACAAAGCGCCGCCGAGAGCTGCTACCGCCGTCTCGGATCGGCTCGGTTCAGCTTCCCTCCTCTCCTCCCCCCGCTGGCGGCCGGGCCTGCCTGCCTCACCTCCTCGCCGGCAGGTCGCTGGCGCTCCTTCAGCTCCCCGCAAACCCCGCGATGGATTTCCGCCTCTCCAGAGCACAGGCGGTGCAGCACCGGCCTCTCCCGCCGTGCCGCGGGAAGGAAAGGCCCCGGGAGACCCTGTGCCCCCAGGTGCAGAGGGGCTGGCCCGCGGGGTGTGTGCCTGGTGTGGTGTGCGTGCTCTGGGGAGCGATGTGCGATCACCCGCCAGCCGCCAGGAAGGGGGTGGGCAGCCCCGTTTGCACCTGACGCGGCCCGCGGGCGGAGCTCCCGGGCCGCACGTCGCTAGCGCGGCACCCCACACCTCCGAGTGCGGAGCGGGTGGGGATCTCTCACCGCGCCCGTCCCGGTGGGGAGGCAGAAGACGCCAGCTCGGGCTTTACCTCCGACAGTGCCCGCCGGAGCGTGAGCGCCAGCGCCCCCAGTGGCACATGGGGCTGATGGAGGCGGGTCGTGGGTGCTGCGCTGAGGGGTGGCTCCCGCGTCCCCTCCTTCCCTCTGAGCTCCCGGTTCTCGTTGCCGTCCCGTCCCCGGGGCCTGGGCTCTCGCGTCCCTTCCGCGCCGTGCGTGACGCAGTTCCTGCCCGCCCGGTACGCCCCGGGCCCCGCTGCCGGCGGCGGCGGTGGTGGTGGTTGGGGACCTTGGCGGCGGGTGGCCGTGCGGGCTGCCCCTCAGCCCCTCACCTCCGCGGGTGCCTGAGGAGGAGCGGGGAGTCGCGGGCTGGCGGTAAGAGGCCGGTGCGGTGGCGGCGTGAGGGGGAGCAGCGGTGGCCGCTGGGTGCCGGCTCCATCCGGCTGCTGCCCGCTGCAGGGCTGGGGTGAGCAGGGTGCAGCGACGGCCCCTATCTTCTCCTCGGTTCCTTGCCCGAGCAGGTGCTCGTCCCCTCACCGGCAGATCTGGCGGGATCGGTAAGGCCGCTGCGGGCGGCGTGCTGGGCCAGCTCCAAGGATGGGACAGGGGCCGAGGCGCTTCTTCAGCGCTTGTATTCGCGGGCCTTCATTCGCTTGTATTCGCTTTGCCCTTCTTCCCCCCCGACCCTGCCCCACTCCAGGGTGGGAGCGTACTTTTCTTCACAGCCCACGTCGTGTTCCTTTTCCAAAGGCGCACTTTGGGCTCTGCATGCCTGGCTGTATGTCATCTGTTCCAGCCCATGCTCCGCGCCTTTCAATCCCAGGAAAGAAAGGGGAAGCTTGAAATAGTTCCAAATAGTTTTGTTTTGGGACTTGTGTAATCTTCTGGTGGCTTTGTCTTCCCTGAGGGAAACTCTGGGAGAAGATTGTTTCTTCCGTGTTGTATTTTTCCTCTAAATTAAAAATATGATCGTTGGCCTGGAGATTTAAACATTAAATGCAACTGCAAGCGAGGCACAAATTAAAATTGGCATAGACATGACCCTTAAATAGGTGGAGCAAGAATATGAATGGTTTTCTGAAGTTAAAACAATAGCTTGCAATTCTTTTTTCTATTTTCCTAGGGTTGCCTCATCATCTAAAGATCAAATATGGACACTAATGCTGAGATAAAGAAGCAAGTAAACTCCTTTTACTGCAATGTTAAGTATTCCTCACTGAAAATTGTAACTAATACCAAGTAATTTTGGTAGAACAAAGTTCGACTAAATCAAGTGTGAACTTTATTACTATTATTATTATTATTTTCCTTGAGTGAAATTGATAAATAGCACTAGAATTGATCTCACTTTGCTTTTTTGGTCATGTTTTACTTGGATGTGTGCCAGGAACTAACTTACTAAATGGAAATTAATGTTACTATTATGTTTCTAAATAAAGGTGTTATTTTAAAGTAGAAGATTAAACTGCAGCTTCTGGTCAGAGAAAGAGTTAATATCCTAATTTATGTTCCTGGGTTTATCACTGTTGCTTTTTAGCATCTTGGGGTGTTTTTAGAGGAGGAGAAAATATTTGGGCTGCCTTTGTTCATTCACATAAATTTAAACCTAATCTGCTCCTGTTCTGAGCCAGCCCACGCATAAACCATCTGTGATTAGAAAACTTCACATGCATGTGAGTGAGGCAGGCCCCAAACTAATCAGAGTAAGTGTGTGAGAATGGATGCAGCACTAAGGAGAACTGGCTCATCGCAGGCCGGTGTACTGGTGTGTCACAATGATACTGAGCCCCTGGTTCAGATTTGGTTGATAGTGTGTGAGGAAGATCTTGGATCTATTTTTACTTATCAACACAAAAATATGCTATAAGAGAGCCACAGGGTTCTGGAGACTCTGAGATTTTTGTGTGATGTGGAGATTCCTTTTCATTCCACTGTCTTGGAGCCTTATAGAGAAAAGTTCTAGAAGCTGCTTTAGTTTTGTCTTTGGAGAAACAGTACTTTTTCAAATTTACGTATACTGACATGTCTATAGCAGATTTGTTTTGGTTTGACATTAGAGGTATTTTTTTCTGTTGCTTTTGTGCAGTGCTAGAAATACTTCTTTTTATCCTAGGTTTGCAAAATCTGGTGTGCTTCTGCATTAAACTTGCAGACTCACTTCTTAGGATTCAAACACAAGGCGGTAAGATCCGTTTTTGAATACAACTTTTGTCAGATTTTACAGATTTATTTAACAATAGAATATGTGTTTGAAATCTAACCTTTAATGTAGTGTTAAAGCATGCAATTTCAGATACTTACCTAGTTTTGTTACTTTATTGTTTACTGCAATAAACTAGAACTTAGTTTTGTACATCAGAAAATGTTACAACTTTGTGTCTCATTCTGGATTAGTAAATACAATACATGAGAATATGTGGCAGTTAATAAATACAGAATGGACTTCCTGAAACTGTAGGCAATCTAGGAAAAATGTTGCATGCTTCTTTCAAGTTTCATGTAATTATCTAATTGTGTGAACTGATCTGTGGTGCTGGTGCTAATCTCATTTATTTTATAAATGATAAAATGTTTGCATTGTTAGTTTTTGACTCTTTAAGTGTCTGTCTTCTTTGTTGGATGATAACTTGATAATTTAGGTTGAAGAAGCACTGAAAGCTCATGGCATTGGTAAGTACAAGATTTTTTTTCTTCCTGCTCTGTTCTGTACATGTGCCTTTCTCCCTGCCCCAATGTAGGAGTTCATGAAACAAACAAGAAAAAGGCTTTCTGGAGACTTGTGCTTTAAGACCTGTCTAGTGTCCTTTAATGACATAACTACCTAATCCTACAGAAATCTATCAATAATATGATAAGAGGTATGCAAAATTACAATACTACAAATCACCTTAATTAAACTTTTGAGAAACCTTAAAGAATTCAAGACCCTAGAGACCTTTAAGATTTAAATATCTCAAGGTTCTCCATCCCCAGCTGTATCATATGCTGTGTGTGGATAGAAAAAGGTATTTGACTGGAGAGGGGTAACTGCTAACCTTTTTCAAAAGGCAGCAGGGTTCTAGGCTGTGTCAAGTCCCCTGATGGGCAGTGTATGGGCCAGCAGTTTAAGTACCTCAAGTTCATTGGATTTAAACTAAATTGCTGCAATGTACTGGATTAAAGTAGCCCTGAAATTTATGAAATTAAACTTTGTTCATTATAGAATAAAAGACATTTGTGCAGTAGTGAATGAGTCAGGTTTTCCCCTTGTTGCAGGTCATCTTCTGTATAAACTATATTGCAGCCAGAATTACTTTCAATTTAAACCACTGTTTAATAATATAATTTTGTGATGTGTGTTGGAATCTGTGTTGTGTGATAACTAGTGTCTTGATTGGTCTTCCTCTCTGCCTGCTTCGTCAAATTGCCTGACATTAAATACCTTTGCTACTGTTTGGTGTAAATGTCTTTAGTCTGTTTTTTGAACATCTCATAGCACATTCAAAACTAAATGTAGCTTATTCTTCTTGTGTCAACGAAAGCTCAAACTTTGCTTTAAAAAAAAATCCATCATACCAAATTGGTTTCTGTACTTATAATTTAATTTCCACTTCTGTTTTTTTTTTATTTAGTTAATGGCTCAGGGGAGCAAGTGAAAATACCTGTGAAACTTCCTGATTATGGTAAGAAAAAAGAAATTGGAAGAAATAAAATGTTTTGAGGTACAATGTTACAAGTGATATCTAGACCTTAGTAGGTGTCATGGTTTAAGGATAGGACCCAGGACAGTAGGTCATTGGGAATTCATTTATGTTCACTGTATTTTTTATCTGCAGCAGTATTTTGTGATAATACTTAAAAAGAGTATTTGCAAACAAAATGCTATAAAGAAGAGTGAAAATAGGATTGGGGCGGGGATAATGTTTCTCAGTAGCTGACTTTTGTGATGTGGGGCCATCTATGAGCCACGGGTTCACTTGAATGTGAGTTTCTCAGCATATTTTCTCTAGGCCAAAGGTTCCACTCAGGAGTGTGTTTCATTTTGGAGGGGTTTTGTTATGTGACTTTAGACCACGAAGACTGATTTATAGATAATAATGTGGGATTACATAAAATTAATTTTTTTTTTTAGGTGGTTTTAGAGCTAATCTTATCAGATCTACTGCAATGGGTCTGCAATGATGCTTTGTAAACATGGTGCTTCTGGTCATTACTTCCGATGTATATGCTGAATTTTGATGTTCTCAGTTCTTGTATTTCTTTTAGGGTTTTTTGAACTGCTTCCTGCAGTTCTGAATCTCATGATTTTTAACTGCATCTCTGCTATATTCTTAAGTACTATAAAACAGAATAATTCAACAAGGATAACTTTTAAGGCATGCACTTGGGATGGATTAACCCTAGCCAGTGGGAAAGACAGGACACAAAATGGCTGGAATTTGTTTGCTGGAAAGGAGCTGGGGGTCCTGGCAGATAACAAGCTAAACACAAGTAGAGTGGCTTGACATCAAGGAAGGCTAATAGCAATCTGAGCTGTGCTAACAAGGGTATAGCCAGTAGGTCAAAGGAATTTATTATTTCCCTGCTCTTAGTTAGGCCATATTTAGAATATTGTGTCTAGTTTTGTGCTATGGCAGGCTAGAAAGCTATTGATGAAGTTAGGTGAGTTCAGTGGAGAGCTGCCAAGATAGTCTGGGGGCTGAAGCTCTTGCACTGTGAGGAGAGGCTAAGGTAATTTGGCTTGTTCAGCCTTGAGAAGAAAACACCTCAGGGGGACTAACGGTAGCCCTCAGGGGAAGTTGCTATGAAGGCAAAATCAGGTTCTTGGCAGGAACATAAGTCTGAGTTTCCTACTTGACATAAAGTTCTTTTTCACTGTGAGGGCAGCCAGACATTGGAGCAGGTTGCCCAGAGAGATGGGGAATTGCTGTATTCAGAGGTTTTTAAGACCCAGGTGGACAAAGCCCTGTGCAACCAGTTCAGCATTCAGTGTCAACCCTGCTTTGAGCAGGATATTTGGCTTCAGTCCACTAAATTGTTCTGTGACTCTATACATAATCACTTTAGTAAGTTCTGCTATGTATATGTAAAAGTTGATTTATCTCTCATCATCATTAGCTGTGCTAGATCTGGAAAGAATTGTGTAGGATAAAGTGTGACTTCAGGATTTGCATTTCTTTATTTTCTAGAAACAACATTATCCTGAGATAGCAGAACCTGGTGAAGT